AATACTAAGTTACTTAGTATTACTATATACAAGTGCATACTAAGTCGCTTTTCANTTAGTTCAAGTGCATACTAAGTCGCTTTTCGATTTAAGCCCAATATACCAAGAAAGTGCCGAAGAAACTCGACGTTTTCATGATGCGTTAGTGGGTCATATTAAAGCTTGGTCAAAAGCTTGACACGGTACCGTATTTCCCTCAGCCGCACATCACGTTATCAACCTATATGAAAGTGTATATGCACGGTTGGTGGTAAGGTTTGTCTTTACGACGCCTTGGGTCGCGGGTTCTAATCCCGTACCGTGCCTCTTTTTTTCACATGATTTCCGGTACACTTTCTATAACCGGCCGTCAATCCCCGGCGGCCGTGTTAAGCTCGACTTGTGGGGATCATTATTATACATTTAATTACATCTAAATTGGACGTACAAGGTTTGCGTAGCTGGGAAATCGAATCACCAAGTTTAGAGGTATCGACATTAAAAAATATTATTGTGTTTTTAGAATCGTGTTTTAGAATGCTAGTAGCTATCGAATCGTCTAGCAAATTACGATCTAATAATAATATACGTAGCTTGAGCAAAAAATGTATTAAAAAAAAAAAAATGATCGTCAAATAAATGTATTGTTTACAAGTGGTAGCGTTACGTGTTATTATTGTAAACAAACGCATACTATTTATCGTTGTCCGTCGTTCTTAAAACTTACGGTAAATGAACGTATCTATAAAATTAAGCAATTAAACCATGGTAGTATTTGTTTAAGGGCACATGCAGATGAACAAATATGTAAGGCCCGTCGTTGTGCTAAATGTGGACGCGGTCATAATAGTTTATTGCACGTCATTTCGAAAACAGATTATGCGGGCAATTTAGATAACGTAGAAAGTATTATTGACAATAAATTTCCAGATAATACAACAATTTTATCACCGAGTCAATGGCTCATTATTTGAAATTGAAAAGAGAAAATGTAGCGTATTCTGTTTTTGGAATTCACCGAATAATGTTAAACACCAGGTATCAGCGATTATTAAATCTCGCGTATCAAACTTTAAGATAAGCTTGAACTTTTTAACACTTACCAAGCTGACCAGTCTCTTACCACAATCGGGTATTGATGCGAGGGAGTTAAAAATACCGTCAGATATTATTTTGGTCTATTCGCTGTTCAGCACACCGCAAAGGATAGATATGCTGATTGAAGCTGAAATTTTCTTTGACTTAATATATTCCGATTAAATAAAGACGGCTGAAAATGGTCCTGTTATACAAAAAACTGAGTTCGGTTGGATCGTATCCGGTCCTATCTCAGCAAGCCTCACTACATCTATGCTCGCCACTACTGTATTACCACACCAACAAAATGTAGTTGAGAATGAGATAAACGCACGAATTAATTATATGACCAGATAGCGAAATTTTGGCAATTTGAAGAGGTCAAAACTAAAAACATTTTAAGTTTAGATGAAAAGGCGTACCAGTTGCATTTTGAAAATAATACCAAACGGAATGAAAACGGACGGTTTGTGGTAGTATTGCCGTTCAAGGTTCGTTCCCTACTAGGTGAATCGTATAATATTGCTTTAAAACGGTTTTTATCATTAGAACGGCGACTTCAAACTAATATCGAACTAAAAAATCTTTGTTCTAAATGTATAAATGAATATTTAGAACTAAATCGTATGGAAAGAATTTTGATAGACGAAAGTACTAACAACACATATTATATACCACATCATGCAATTTATAAAGAGAGTAGCCATACAACCAAACTACGAGTGGTATTTGACGCTTCTTGTAAAACCGACAACGGGGTAAGTCTTAATGACGTTTTACTTAAGAGTTCGTGTATACGAGAAGAATTAACCGAAATAATGATTAGATTTCGAACGCATAAATATGTTTTTTGTTCGAACATTGAAAAAATGTACAGGCAAATTTGGATCTCTGAGAATCAAAGAGATTTTCAACGCATTTTATGGCGTGAAAATCCTGAACAACGTGTTTTTAGACTTTAGACTAAAAACAATCACATACGGAGTTGTGACTTCCTCGTATTTAACAGCCGGGTGTCTAAGAAAACTAGCCGAAGAAAAAGCTGATCATTATCCGGAAGCTTAGAGCGTTGCATGAAGATTTTTATATGGATGACCTCCTAAGTGGTTCAAATACTTTAGAAAAGGCGGTCAAGTTAAGAGATGATTTAAATCAATCATGGAGAATGCTGGTTTCAAGTTGAGGCAATGATGCAGCAATGAACCACTATTGTTAAGAGAATTACCTTTATATTTAAGGAAAGTTGATGACGATGCAAAAGAGCCTAATAAAAATATTACTAAAATCCTTGGATTATATTGGAATCACGAGAACGATTGCTACCAATACAATAAATATCTGGTCGATTCACAAAAAGACTAATTCTATCCAAAATATCGTCGCTATTCGATCCACTTGGATTAAACACTCCAGGTTCAAGATGATTATGCAACAGTATGGTTGCAAAAAATGAACTGGGATGACGTTTTACCTATCCCATTACAACAAGATTTTTCAAAAATGCGTGTAGAACTGGAGCTAATTAATAATAAAATTAATTGTCTAGTTTTCGGCATCGAAAAAAATAAAAAAAACTAGAATTACACGCGTAATAAAGTGTTTAATCCCCCCCCGCATAAATAGAAAAGTTCGATTTAAAAAAAAAGTATGTTTGATGAAAGGAGTATATATACTTTTAAATTGTATTGATCCATACAGTTTTAAAAAGTTATAGCATTATAAAGTTAAAAATATAAAATCGAGAATTTAAACACAAAAATGGAATATTTTTGGATATGGTAGCGATTTTTACCATGAAGACAAAATAAAGTTCGAATTTTTTTTTATTTGTAGTAAAGTATATTTTATAAGCTTTAAATTAATATTAAAAGTATCAGTATTTCCGGAACACTTTCAAAAGTTAAGTTCAAAAAGTTAATTTTTTGTGGAAAATTTATCATTTTGAATCCTCAAAATTAATTCCAGCCTATTTAAATCAGTTGAACTGAAAGGTAAAAGACCTAATAAATCCGAACCGCCATACAAAAATGCTTAATACATTACTAAAAATTGTGTCTGTTGCTTTTTAGAGACTTAACTATAGTGGAGCCGTTTATACTAACATAAGAAGTAATAAGATAAAAATGTTTAATTTATTTAGAATAACAGAGTATATAAGGATGTTTTTTTTTAATTCCTACTCGATTTGGGTATTGAATACCTAATACTCTAAGGTAAACTGCTATTACTAGCAAAGGGATAAGTGCAGTGGTTTTCTGTTACCTTCTACACTGGGGGGACATTGTGCTTTTTACCAACGTAAAACGAACGTATGGTCAGTCATCCATACACTAGGCGGCAAGCGTGGCTTATAACACTAGAGTTTTATGAACATTTAGAGTATTCACCACGCCAAAAAAACATAGGGGTGTATCGTTCTTAAAAATTCACACTATATTTTCAAAGGTTTTCTGAAATGGTTAATAATTCGAATGAAAGTTAAATAGTTAGTTCTTTTTTTTTAGAATATATCACGGTATATAATAGTACTTCTATACAATATTAACGATGGTACAAGAGTAAATTGTCATACTGTTACATATTGGTAACATCAACACTATTATCTGCTAACCAATAAACTATATCAAATGTCTAAAACTTTCATAGAAATAATAATATGAACTATCATGGATACGTCAATATTGTAATGAAATAATTAATCATTGTTCAGAATTGTATATTAATTTTTAAGATAACATGTAATAAATAATTTAATAAAGAGATAACAATAGCGTTTCTGATACTTCTTGCACATGAATATAGCAATAAAAATTAACAAAACAGGAATATAAAAGGGACCAAAATAGGCTATATCTTTTAAGTGCATGGTTAATATAGGAGCAATGAAAAGATTAAGTGATCACTAAAAGATCACCGTGTCTTTCTATTTACCTTTTTCATTATTCTCATAAACCCTCGTTTATTCCATATTTATTCCTTAGTAAGAGATATAAAGTATTCATTCCGATTACGAGGGATGATTTCCGTATCGTCATTTTTCGTCACTACCTCCACGTCCCGGGAGTGAGTAATTTGCGCGCCTGCTGCTTTCCTTGGATGTGGTAGCCGTTTCTCCGACCCCTCTCCGATATCGAACTCTGATTTCCCGTTACCCGTAACAACCAAGATATTGATAGTAACTACTATCATAACATGAAACTAAAAAGTGAAAAATAAATATAGTTTAAATATATATATATAGTTAAAAATTATTTTTAACTTTTTAGTTCGATGTGCTTTAAACGCATGATTTTTTAAACAATATTTACTACAATTATAATCAAATTTTATAATACGCTCAATTGAGTAAATCATTTTAACAACTTTTTTTTTATTGGTTCTTTTAGTTAAAGTAAATCATTAAAATTAATTAAGTTCTGAATATTTTCATTGTACAATCTTTTTAAATACCAAAAGTTAATTAGAAATGATTATTATTTAAGTGATTTATTACGATATAAATGCAAAAAAATTGTGCCGCGACCCCATTGTATCGGGTTTTTTTAATTTAGTAACAAAAAATTAGCCACAAGTGATCAACTCTTATATTATTTTAATAAATAGATAATAGTGACGACACTAATGACATTTATTTTATGAAAATACAGTAAATTTTGCTTTATGGATTCCGCCGTGAAGTTGCAGTAAATAGTAGTAGGGTAAATTATTAACTCAGAGTTAAAGGGTATTGTATACTAGTACATGAAATATTCAAGTTTGAAATAAAAATTTAGATGGACTCTCACAAACTCAGGTTTGTTAATTAAAACTTCGACAAATTAAAAAAAAAAATTTTAATTATAGTTAATAATTGAGTATTGAATCACGAAGCTATACCTATAGCGTAATATAGAAGAGTAAAAAAATTCATAATAAAATACTACGAAAATACAACCACTAAAAAATTAAGCATTATTATTATCAAAATATATATATTATATATACATACAAAATAATTCCATCATACTATAATCTAAAATATTATAATAAATATATTATTTATACTACTGAATAAAAACAATACATGAAATACACCATACAATTAATTGTGATTCATAACAGTATTTAAATAACACAAATTTATCAGTAGGCACTAAATGAGCACATTATTGTCAATAATAAATTGAGCTAAATAAAAACAATAATATTAACAAAGTAAAATAATAAGTTAAATAAATTACAATAATTCTATATTTATATATAAACTTTTATACACCTAATAATAATAAACAAGCTGCACATACATATATAATTTAACTTATATTATAATTCTTCAATATTTTATAATTGTATTAAATGTAAATATTTTTATAAATAATATACTAATAAATAATTAGTAATTTATGTGATATCACCAATTATTTTTAACAGACTTTTAATTTTTACAAAATAATTACAAATTACATAGTCTAAATAAATGTTGGTTAATAAAATAAAATTGTTTATCATATGAAAATCTCAACATTTAACAAACCAATATTATTAGGATATTATTTTTAACTTAAATAACTTTAGTTTTTTTATGAAAATAATCATGATTGGTAACTTGTTGTTAAAGAATCGTATTCTGAGCAGCTGCAATAAGTTTGGATAACTTAAAATAAATCACAAATGGGAAATAATTCCTTTGAAACATATATTGAATTCAACATTTAAAAAAAACTTAGATATTTTTATTTGATCGATTATAATACAATCATAAATGAATTAGTAATAATTTACAAACTGAATAGTAAAACAAAATATATTTAATAAACCCTGTTAAAACCAGTCGGCTGTATATGTAAAGTCTTTAAACATCTGTTGTTCATCTTCAGATAATATTCTTGGATCTTTAGGAGGAGTTAATTGTGGCCTTTCAGAAGTGAACTCTTCATCAAAATTACTGACATCCTCAACTGAATTCTAAAATACAATTAAGCAATCAGAAAAAAATCTTTACTATAATAAACTATTTTTAAACTTACAATTGTGGGAACAAATGGTGGTTTCACTTTCCTTTGAAGCAAATCATCCCAAACTACTGTTCTAAACAATTTTTGGTTTTTGACATCTTCAGCATCCCTTTCACTTGAACCTAAACGTCTCTCAGGATTTTTTCGTAAAAGCTATTTTAAAAAATAAACATGTGTAAAATTTTAGTCATAGGTAGAATAATTTGTAAATATTTTTAAAAAAGAATTTGAACTATTTATTAATGTAAACATACACTATACATATGTATTGTATAATATAGAATTAATTGAAGCCTAGGGGGAATAACATACTATGTAACAATTCATAAACTTTACAGTATCAAAGAAAACAATCATAAGATTTCTTTAAACAGTTATTTAATTGCACCATCACATCCATAATAAAATAAACATTAATTAAATAAAAAATAAAGTGTACACTGTGTTGTTAGTATACGGTGCACTACTAGATTTGTTGATGATAAATTTATTAAAGATAATTAACACAATAAAGAAATGTATGAACGATTAAGTGACTAAAATGATGCTTTACTTCAAATAAAATTAGTACTAATATACACAAAGCACATTTTAATTAATTAAAAAATCACCAGGTGTCATGTTTATACAATTATTGTAAGTGATAATAACATTGTAAGACTTTTTAGACTTTAAAAAAAAATACAATACTTCACAAAAAATGTGAAGCCCAAAAAAGTGTAACATAGCATTTTATTCTCACTCTTGCTTAAATTATACATAATATATAAATATAATTTTATAAATTATAAAAATGCATTAAAAAAAAATTTTGATTTAAATTACTTGTTTCATAATTGCAATAGCTTCTAATGATAAAAATTTCGGATAGCGAACTTCATCATTTACTATAGAGTCAAAAACTTCTTCCTCGTCATCACCCGGAAATGGTGACTAAAAATTGTACATAAATAAAGTAATGAGATTTTAATTTATGATATTAGTAATTAAAAAGTATTTACTTCTCCAACAAGCATTTCAAAAATGAGAACACCCAAACCCCACCAATCAACACTGCGTGTATATGATGTTTCTGTTAGCACTTCTGGTGCTAAAAATTCTGGTGTTCCACAAAAGGTCCCAGTTCGATCACCATATCCCATACCTTCTTTACATAAGCCAAAATCAGCTATTTTAACATATCCATCAGTGTCTAGTAATAAGTTATCCAATTTTAAGTCACTAAAAAATGTATTTAAAAATTAATTAATTAATGTAAAATTAATCATTTTAAAATAAAATATATGGGTAATTAACATACCGATAAATAATACTATTTTCATGTAAATATTGAAGTCCTAAAACAACACAAGCTGCATAAAAAACTGCTCTAGGCTCAGTAAAAACATCAGCATGTATGTGCATCATCAAATCACCACCAGCCGCATACTCCATTACAAAACATACATGAGCCTACACATAATAAAATTATTTTATTTTAACATAGAATTATTTTAATATAGTCAATACTCACATCAGTTTGGAAACATGCGAATAAATTTACAAGGAAAGGATGACGAATATTGTTTGCTACTTCAAATATGCGCTTTTCTGAAAGAAGAGATTCTACCTCGTCACGAGCTATTATATCACCTTTTTTCAAAGCTTTTATAGCAAAATACTGATTGGAATTTTTATGTTGGCAGAGAATAACCTAAAAATACATAAATTAGGTATTGTGTAATATGTTTAAAATACAAATATATAACCTAAATATACAAAATTAGATTGTAATAAATAGCACTAAAAGAAAATTAAAATGGTTTAATTAATTTTCTTTTTTAACACTTTATAGTACTCTGTCTTATCAGTATCAATTTAAATATTGATACTGATAAGACAATTCTGTGGTTATAGATCCCTAGCCTAAACGAGCAATTTATATCATGATAAAAAATTATCAGATTATTTTAAAAAAATATAAATATTAAAGTTTGTTTTGTTAACTATTATGAAGTAGTTAAATATTATTTTCTGTAAATTACTTATAGTTAATAGTTTTGTTAATTATCATTATAGTCATTATTTAGTTCCCATTGTTAAATGGTTAAAAAGTCTATAAAAATAATTTATTGTAATCAATAATTATTTAATGAAGTCTACCCTAAAGATTAGAGTTTATTTAGTAATATACATAAAAAAACAGTGTCATAGTATTGTGTCTTGGTTAATTTTTTTTTCTAATAAATATAATATACAAACACTTTATCTTATTTACTATTTTAAATAAAGGTTATAGAATAATTATACTTACTTTGCCAAAATGACCACGGCCAAGGACACTCAAAAGTCTAAAATCGTCCATGGACATTTGCGAACAATTCAATGAATTGATATGATGATATCCCTTAACGGCTTCTTTAGAATATAAATAGTTTTTATTGTGGTATGGTTTTGATTCACTTTCATGGTAATCCAAGACACGAGATACTGAATGGCTAAATACTAACGGAGACTAAAAATCAAAATATACAAAAAATTAATTGGCATGAGGAAATTGATTAATTAATTAGATTATTTCTATTATAGACATTATATAGTTATACAAAGTTGTAAGTAAATTAGTTGTAAAATACATTTTGCAGTTAAAAGTTAGGAATATACAAATATTTCATATATGTTATGTTTAATATTGTACATGGAACATAATATTACTTCAACCTTGAAGGATTCAGTATAACCAATTTACATGCTCTTTTATTGAAATTCACTTTTTATATTTTCTAATAAAGACCACTCAACCACTTGGAGTAATTACGAGGTATATTCAATGTTAAAAAAATAATAATAATATAAAACAGGGATGTCTAATTTACAAAGTAAAGTATTAAAATTATTCAGTTTTTTTGTCATTTTTCTCCTGAAAATTGGAGATAATCAGTTATTGTTCTAGACCCTTCAGTAATGATATTATATTATTTTCTTTTAAAATAAATTGCTATCTGTTATATCTCTGTAGATATTGAGTACATTCATATATTATGGTGAACAATATCTATCAGTTACATAACGTTTGAAAAGATGTTATAACATACTATCAATTATTTTTAGATCTGATTGTAAAAAAATTAATTTAAGAGATTTAATACTCAAATTTCTTTGATTTAATTTATCAAGTTAAATTTTTAAAAAGAAATATTCTAACAATAACTGTATATGATAAGTAAAATAGCTGAAAAAAGTAAAATTCACTTTATTTTTTTGATCTATTAAAAATAATAAATAAAGAAAAAGTAAAATAATTTATACTACTAGACAGATAAAATATTTGAGATTTGAATTGTGTAGTCTAATAATAAATCAGTGAAATCTAAGCAATTGTTTTGTGTAAAAATTTGTTCAAAGTACCTCTAAAAAAACAAATTTAAAGGAAATAATTAATAATTTTTCCCTAAGATCAAGCACTTAAATATAAAAATATATATTGACTAAAATTAAATAAAAAATGATGAATATACATGAAACCAAAATATAACTAAATAACAAATATAAATTTTTACTATTGTTATATACTAACTATAATTATTTCAAAATGACTAAGCCCAAAAAACATTTTTCGCCACCAATATCAATATAATAATTTATTTTTAGTGTAAGAATTTTAAAATTAAAAAAATAGCTGTAGTTTAAAAATGTATCTTAACTGAAATTTTATCTTACTATCCAAAATACATATTAACAAAATATTAAGTTAGAGTCAGGAGAAACAAGAATTGACCAGAAAATAAGGTTACAATTAAATATAACCCAGGAGGCATTTCTTTCTTTATGTTAGTGTAACAGATATTTTTAATAAATCATCATAAACAAAATTATGGGTATAATGAATCCTATTGTAGAGAAATGTCTTCATAGTATCAATCAATGTAAAAACCTCTTCAGTAATTTTATTTTTTAGTAAAAGCTAATGTATAATTATCTTTAGTAAAATTCATTGTAAATATCTTTCTGAAACTGTAATTTTTTAATTTTTTAATAATGTAATGAATAATCTAGTGTTTAATGTAAGAAAACATTGTAGAAATGTCAGGTGGGCACTCATTATGTAAAAAAACTTGAAAGGTTATCAATTTTATTGGATAAACTTTTGCAACACACGTCAGACACAATCATTCTTGGCATCTAACTTACAAATGTAAGTAAGCAATTTACTAATTTGTATAATAGTCTATTTGTTGAGGTGAGGGACAGTGTGGCCAAGTTGGTAACACGGCGGCATTGTTTAACATGCACTGCCTCAGGTTCAAAAATGGGTCACGTACAGATTTATTTGCCAAGCAAGAGATCAATATGGTAATTGGAGTCACCATCCCTCTCTCTGGCGATGGACTAACCACCCATCATGGAGTATCAATGATTAAGAAACCTCCTTTGAGGGAGGCCACTACGACCCTTAATGAGCTTATAATAAGTTAAAAAATAAAAATAAAATCTATTTATTATGTCTTATTCTAGAGACTAAGTAAATTTTGAGGACAAGTGTTTTATTATGAGAAATGAAGATTTTTATCAACTGACTGTCAGATTTAGTACCGAATTTTAGAATCTTTCATGCTTTTCATTACTATGAGTCTTTATGCTTCTTTTTAGTTTTTTAAAGATAGTTTCAGTAATTCATTTTACAAAAAATAAATTACACAATATATGATTAAAAGTCACCAACCAATAAGTAAGGAGGAGACATGTAAATTTTTATGAATAAGAACAATGGAACTCTTTTTCCTTATTTTTTGAACAATCTAATAATTACTCTTATAAATATTTGTTGTGTCCACAAATTATAAAAAATACATAGGACGATTTTGTTCATGAACCACTATTCAATTACTTGCAAAATAAAAACAATATTGAAAATTATTTTCATATTTATTCCTTCTATCTAAGGTATTAATTTTTTTTTATGGCAACATACATACTGAACTACTTAATATTTGTATCTCATAACTAGATTAACATAAGATCAAAAATGATGATTTTCAAGTTATTGAATTTTGGTACAGAGAATTTTGTTACAATGCACCATTTCCATATTATATCACAATTTTAAGAGTTTAAGTCAACCTAAATTTGAGCCAAAAAAACGTAACTTGACATAATTTACTATCTTTCTACCACTTAAGTATAAAAAATTATCTTAAACTAGCAATTTTTTTATACATAAGTAAATTTTCATGTAAAACTACGTTAATGTTTTTATAAGGTATAAGGGATGAAACAAAAAATACTTGATGATTAATTAATTACAAAATATATATATAAAAAAGAAAATAAATTATAAAATTATAATTATTTTGAAAATAATTGAATAATTAAAAAAATTGAACTACACTGTATATTATAAAATGATACTTAAATTTTTAATTCACCCATTGACATTACGAAGACACTATTATGGCTTGATCTTAGATACAAAAACCATCCTAAATATTTATTGTCTTATTTTGAGTGTATTAATTTTAAATACTTGAACATAAAATTAAGGAGTTTTTATTTTAAAATTCGTACCCTGAATATAGTGAATTTTAACAACTTTATATAATAACAGTATGATTTGACTTAAATAACCATATTTTTTTATTTAAAAATTATTTAATGAGTATTATATGGTTAATAATATTTAATTTTTTTATAGTTCAAACAATCTAATGATTAAGCAAGAAGTTATAAAAATAAATAAGGCATATAGATTGCATACTGATTATTTTATATTTATTAGTAATAAAAGTAATAGCAAAGAGTAGTGCAATGGATCATTCAGTCACTTATTTAGCACTTATATTCAGTGTTGTTACTATTGGTTTTCAAATGGGTGGGTTAAACTTTAACAATGACACATACCTTACTCCCTTATTAATTCCTTTAACTATAATGAGATTGCATCAGGTTATCAGCCAGTGTAAAATTCTTGTCAAATCTTTATAAGATAGAGCCAACACCAAATAGTTAGGATAGAAGATAATGATGATTAGTAATTAAATTAAGTAATAACTAATAATTTTAATAGAATATCTAAGAAATATGGAAAGCAAAATTTACTTTTTGTGTTTTAATCAAATAAATAATTATTGTTTGAATAATGATGACAATAATAATCTTTACTATCAAATATCTGAAAATCAATACTTTATAAAGAATTAATTTCAACTGATTCAATAATTTTAAATCATCATTAAGTGATTCAAGTTCTCTGAAGCTAATTTCTTATCTAATCTATTTATAAATATATATTTATGGCTTTACACTAGCCAACAGAATTTCTTCAATATAACAATGTTGCCCCTCCCCAAACAAAATGAGGTTTTATTTAATTATAAACAATATTTTTTCTTAATATACATTAAAAAAAAACCTAATTAGTTAAATAATTTAAAAATATTAAAGAAAATTAATCTATTTTAAATTATCCAAACTGAAATAACTAAAAAATGTCAACTGAAATTAAAATGCTATGATGATCGAAGCATTTAGTAGTAATAATGCTGCATAATATATATCATACATGCAGCATAATATACAAGGTGATTCATTAAGAATAAGATACTTGTTTACTTAGTAACTATTGAAAATTTTTAATTTTTGGTAAGGAGAATATGGTTTGATTCAAAAAACACTACAATAACATGTAGTAAAAACAATTTTTAATATAACTTTATTCGTTTATTAGATATAAACACTTAAAGTTTCAAATTTTTGAGTTAGTATACATGTATAATACACAAGGGATCACTAATACAGGTAGCTAATTGGTTTTTTATGACATTGCTGTCACAGTCACGGATTGTTTATTATCAATGGTAGTAAGGCACATTGTTATGAGTTAATAAATATACTAGCTTACAATACAGAAAGTATATCTATTGATAGTCATAATTGATCTAATAAACGAATAAAGTTATATTAAAAATTCAAATGTCATTTGCTATTAAATTAAAAACTCAAACATTTTATTAAATTCAAAATATGTGTTCTCATTTAAAAAAGCTCAAGTTAATGTTTTTTAACCTTGAAGGGATGAAAAATATCATGTCTTTACTACAAATTATTGTAGTGTTTTTTGAATTAAACAATATTTTCCTAACCAAAAATTTAAAATTTTCAATAGTTACTGAGTAAACGAGTGTCTTATTTTTAATGAATAACCCTGTATATCATACATACATACAGTTCATATAAAATAATCAGTTAGGCAAAATTAGATTAAACAAGCCTCGCAAAAGTGGTTTAGGAAGAGCAAATACCTCGTCCTGGGGAAACTCTACAAGAGGAGATGGTTGAGGTGTTCCCATTGTTGAGCTGCCAACACTTTCTATGCTTACAGACATGGCCATCACATGTCTCCTACGTTCGGATGGTAAGTTCTTAGGTTCATCATCATGTAAAAAGTCAAACTCCTTCAATACATTCTGCAGCTATACATATTATACAATTTACCCATCCAAAAGTATTTATAATCTAGAACTTTTATTCCTACTTTGTTTAGCTTTTGTATATTAACAAAATGTCTACAAACCTCTTGATCCAGCTGTCTAGGTGGTCGTGGAGGAGGTACAGTTGGCGCTGTAGGAATTCTTTTGTTAGCAGCAATAACAGCTGAAGGTAGGAATGTAGGGGATCCAGAAGAAATATTACGGTGGTCAGTGATAGTAGATGGTAAAGGTGGTAATACAGCTACACCAAGGCCTAATGGTCGAGCACCAGCTAATCCAGTAGTAGCACTAGGTTCAGGAATTTCACCTGGTGTACATTTTTCTTCAGATCTATTATCACTACCATCTAAAATTATATAATTTTTATGATATAAAAAAAATTTTCATTCTCAAAGTTTATAAACTTTAATTGACCTGTTGAGCTATCAGATTGTGAATGTGATCTAGTATGTTGTTGTACATTTGCATTAGACATAGGATAAACAGGTACAGATGAAGAATTTTGAATAGAATGAGATGATCTTTTTAGAAGTCTACCCCATGCAGCAATATTCATTCCATTAGCTCTGGGAAAATTTTTGGCTTGTTGTTTAAAAATTTTACGTTGTCTTTGTAAACGTGGCTGAGGTGTAATCATTGGATTCAAAAATTTAATCTAAAAAGAAAAAAACTTAAAATAAATATAAAATATAAAAAATCTTTTAATTTTAAAAATGAATATAAAAGTGATATAAAGTATAGTACTTTTTAATTTTAAGCAAGTCATGTTATGTTTAGTTTCATGTAGATAATAAAAACTCAAACAATTTATATGGAGACAAATCTTTTAAAATTTTTTAAACTTAGTGACAACATGTATTTGAGAATAAACTTGAATCTAGTTTGTATAAAACACTAATTGTGAATAGTTATCTAAGTACTTATATACTCATGTAAAAGCATATATTAAAGAAATATTGTAAGAATAAAATTACTTAGTGTTCTAAATTGGTAAGGTTAAATGAATAATGGAGGGATGAAATAAAAGGAAAGTCTGTTTGAACAATTTATTAATTGTAATATCTTAGACATTAAAAAGAAAAAGAAAAAATCATTTTTATTAAAATAGTCATATAAATTTTTGAAAAAGGCTCATCAAATGATCAATGTAAAAAGAATTATTTTTTGCAATATGAAATGTCAACATTTTTAAACTCTTTTACCTAAACACAGTACATAATAATAAGATTATAATTTAAAAAATCACATTACCTCAGCAAACAAAAGTCCTTGTGGTTCTAACTGTAAAGCCATACCATGTCGGATATCATTTATAAACTCTTCAAGTCGTAAAAATTTAATGCCACACAATGAACGCCAATCTTTCCAATAAACACCTATTTCTAACTCACGCGATTTATCCAAATCAATAAAAAATCTGCAAAAAAATTAATGATTCAATAAACAATCAAAAAAAAAAAAAAATGATTAAATAATTAAGAAATTGAATCCTTGTCAGTAAAATATTATTGTGGCAACAAAATAAAATAATATATTTTATGTGTATAATTATATTTTAATAAATATTATTATTGACTTAAATATATATAATATAATTAATAAAAATATTATAATATTTTTAAGTTCTGAAGTATTAGTCCAAATGTTGTAATTAACCAAATTTAACCAGTCATTTTCTTAAGTAGATAATTAATTTTCTATTTTATAAGGCCCATAATAATACAGATTATATATTCAGCTAAAATATTTGTTATTTTTTTAAGATAAAATAATTTTTTTGATTGTGTAGTCTTTTAGTATATATTAATTTAACCTTTAGACCTTTAGTACATTTTTAATGTCCTTTAAAAAATTATGTATTTAACTTGAATTATAAAAATAGAGTTTTTTACAAAGTATAAAATTAATATTGCAAAAATATTCATAAAATAAATACTGACATTAAAAATTTTTTTTTTGCCTATTCATCTTTTTTTGGTGCATATTAATTAAAGTGCTAAAAACAATATATTTAAGTGTTTAAAATAATATATTTTAGTTATGAGCACTAATTATGACAAATTTAACAACATTCCATACCTTTGATCCCAAGCTTGTTGAGAACATGGTCGCCAACTAGTCTGACCAACAGTTTGGTTATCCAACTTTATAACAGCCATGATTTCATCTAAAATTAGTATATAATATATAATTTAAATGTATAAATATAATTTCATACAAATCAATATACTCACTACTAATTTCATCCTTAATATTATATGATTTACTAGAACTACGACCAGTAACACCTTTCACAAATGACCTTAAATCTCCAGGATTTTCTTTTTCACGTTTTGACCTACCAGGAACTTCTTCCAATAAATCTTGACAGCCCATTAACCTAAACATTTTTTTTTTTATATTTAACTCTTTTTTAAATTAAAGAACAAAATATTGCATTATATTACTAACCTAACTTCAAGTTTACCAGTAACTGCGGCACACCTTGAAACAGTAGCTTTTTCTGGAATAACATTTCGTTCAGCTTTAATAAATGGTTGCAAGCTTACATAAGCATGATTTGGAGTAGGGCTAGCTGCTTGAGCATTTTGTAGTTCTCTAATTAGTTGATTGGCTGTGGTTGAGTTTGGTGGTAATTCTTGACGTCTTAACTCTAAAGATCGTCTCAGCAAATCTAATTTATGGCTTGATTCAGATAGGTTTGATTGAGCCTGAAACAAAATTTTAAAATAATTCAAAAATAATGAATATTATTAAGGCAGTATAAATTTGAGATATTATTGGTATTATAATCTTTAGTTTTACTACTCTTAGTCAGTAGTAACACATAATAAAATTTTACTTTAAATATAATTTTTAGATATTTGTATAATTTTATAAAAACAGTATGCCAAAAAAATTGGGAGATAACAAGTTAAAAACATTTAGCTTTAAGGGTAAGATTTAAATTTAGGTAAGATAACTATACTGTCAAAAAGGAGTATAAGTGTAGCGTCAATCATGGATAAGATGAGAGAAAATAGACTTAGATGGTTTGGTCATGTTATGAGGAGAGAAGAATTGAAAGCTGTAAAAACAGTTAATGAAATGAATTTACTTGTCCCAACTATGATTTACACTGTACCGTAACCCCACCGTGTTACTGTTTTATAAATTAATTTATTTTACAATAAATTTCTCGAGAAATATCTTACAGTTATTTGAAACTGTTGGATTTTTAATGTTTCTGCACAAAATATCATAAATTTGTTGAGCTCATCTTTCAATGTAGAATTTATATGCACGCCATAAAAAAAAAAAATATATATATTCTTTAATGCCATTATTTAATATACTAACATATGAGTTGTTTAGTTGAATTTTATTATTTAGTTATAAGCAAATTTTTCAAGAAAACTATATTTTTTAGCCTATATCAATATGCAAATGTCATATGATCTTAATTTTCAAAACTGTGTAAAAGACTATATTTAAAATTTAACACTATCGTTACAAAAAAAACCCAGCACAGTGGGGACGTTGCATAGTTGGGTCCAATATAGATTTAATCTGACAGTGATTAAAATCACTATCATAAAAACGCCTCGATGCAAATCTGTAGATAGTGTTTAATCCTAAGAAATTGATGGATAATTACAAAAGCAAAAGCAACATCAACTTCTATTTCCTTAATTATACACAGATTAGTAATTCTTTTAATTATATATTATATAATTTTTTTAATTAATTGTTTTCAAATTATTATTGATTTTAATTTTTAATATGTCAAAAGTAATCATATTGAACCTACTTTATTTTGTCCTTTAAAGTGAAAGTTTTTATATAAAAAAAAAATATTAATTTATTACCATAACTTTTAGCTTAACTTACAAGTTTTAAATTGACATTAATAATAGAAAAAAATGAAATTGTTAAGATTAATATGCAATCAGAAAATTTTATAATTACTATTTACAGTAAATTTAGCAGAAAAGATCAATATTTTTTGCATTTTTACCCTAATAGATCACTTAAATAAATACCATAGTAATAATTTCTATTTAACTTTTGGTGTTTTAAAAGATTCTACAATTGAATTATTCAGAACTTAGTTAATTTTAATGATTTACTTTAACTAAAAGAACCAATAAAAAAAAAATGTTAAAATAATTTACTCAATTGAGCGTATTATAATTGTAAAAATCCATCGTTAAATTCAGGTGAAACTAAAAATAATTTTTTTTTTTAATTTATGATTTATATAGCAACGTGTTACAAAAAAATTTGGAATATTGTTCCATTTGTTGATTTGTTTATTTTTGAAAAAGTTATGGAAGTTTTAAGAAAAAAAAGTGAAAAAAATGACAAAATTTACTGATTTTTAAATTTGTAATTTTTTTGGATATTTCCCCCATTTGCGGGGAACGAGGGGAAATTTTTCAATTTTTAAGGGTAATATCTTCAACTAGATACGATTTGTGATCTTTTGACGTATTGTTGAAAAAAATTGGTCCAGTGAGAGCTGAGAAAAAGTGACAACAGACATAAAAAAAAAAAAAAAACACATCATGGTAAAATTAATACCTTCTCAGCTTAGCATCGAAGCTAAAACAATCATATTATTATACATTATATGAAGATAATAACAAATTAAAAAGGTATTTTTCCACGCCTGTCAGTCATTATTATTATTTTTTTTTTGTTACTAAGTTTTATAGTTAAATTTAGAAATCACATAAAGAATAAATACATATTAATATTCTACTATCTATATCTTTAATGGTAAACTTCAAAGCTAAAATTAATTGAATATAATTTTTTTTTGGAATTAGACACTCTAATTATTATTATTATAATGATGAACTTGGCACATTGCCTACATACTTTTGATCATGTTTGAAAACTATATTAATAAACCTTACTATAGAACATAGATAATATAATTTACAAGCACACATTTTGAGAAGTGATAAAAGGTTTTTATTGATGTATAAATTTTCATAATAATTCATAGAGCTTATTGTATATATAATTTTAAATTTGTAGTAACAACAATTTTTTATTTCATTTTTAAATAAATAAATTTTTATTTAAAATATTGAGCATAAATATTTAATAGTTAGTTTGAAACTGTTAATTTCCCATAATATCATATAACTAATGAAAATAAAAATAATTTTATCTCCCCTCTATAATACAATCAAAACTTGAGTTAATGCCAATCTACTAGTCTCTGTTAAAACAATAGTATAAAGTTGAATAAACTAAGATTTCATTTTCTATTGATTAAAATTGTACTCCTATATTCTTTAGAGATTAATAAATACCTAAGGAATGGAAACAAACAAATTGTTATGTAATAAAATTTCTGAATCAGATAACTGGTCAGTTCATGCCTTAATACAAGTTAAACAAAAATCAGATATTACAAAACCATATCAAGAAACATATAATGGATTTCAAAGTGGAAACATAAAATTTACAACTGAATCTAGTCAAAATTTAAAAGTCAAAAATACTCTACAGAATTCAGATAAAATAAACAATATAGTACCTCAATGTGAAGTCTGCTGTGGTATAAGAAGTCCAATGTCAATTAGAAGGGCACAAAATTACACAGCACACTTCTGTACCAATATTTCAACTAAGAAACATCCAACAACAGTAAACGTTTCAAGTCAAACATCACCTTCTCCTTCATTAGTTTTTAATAAGGTAAATAATATAAACAAGATAATTTATTATACAATAAATAATGATTTTAAACTTTCTGATATTTATGTTAGAGTGATATGAACAAACATTTTAAGAACAAAACATTCAAATTGCACAATTCCAAACAAAAAGATGAAAAAACTATACATAATAATGCTTGTTGTTTAAAATCTTCAGACTCAGATGAAACTATAGGATATGATTCATCAGACACACTGCATAAACTTTCAGAAGTAAGTTGTAAGAAAATACCAAAAAAGTCTAATGTAACTCAAAGTTATTTAAATATTGCCCAGAAAAACCAATTACAAAAAAGTCCATGTTCATCAACATTAAGTTCAATGAACACAATATCTAATCCTTCATCTAGTTGTGTATCAACATTGATGAGTACTAATTCAATTTATAATAGTAGTTCATCAAATTCACAACCTGACACTAAATATACATATAGTTATAATAATATAAGTAGCTCAGATGATGAATGTTCAGAAACAGCTTGGAGTTTCAATAGATCATTATCTCAAAGAGAAGAAATTCTATTTAGACGACCAGGGTCCAAACAAGCAAATACTATCCAAGACACGGGAAGTTTAAGTGATTGTTCATTATCCCCTAATTATCAAAAGCAAAATTACTTAAATAATTATACTCAAGTGGCGAAAATGGCAGTAAAGTTTGGTACAACAAATTTTCCAAAAAATCAAGATCATCATATAGGACCCTCGAAAAATCCTGATTGTACATGTTTAAATTGTCGTAGTCATTTTAATTCTAGTTATTATCCATATTCTAAAGAAACCACTAATCAGTCAGAATTATTCAAATTATTCAAAAAAAATCTGTAGAATGTTTTTTAGTTTTTAAATATATAATTAAAATTCTGTATACTAATTGTGATTAAACTAGGTATTATTCTCAAAAATAAAATATAATATAATTTTAGTTTCTGTGCATGAACGTACAACATGTTTCCAGATGAATTTATACAATATTGTTGAAATAAAATTCAACCAAAGTTGAAAGTGCTTATACTTCATCATTTAACTATTTTAACTCAGCTTAGTATTAAGTGATAGTAATGTTTAATTTATACTTATATAATTTATATTTGTAATTTTTGAGTAAAACAAATTATAAAAGTATGTATCCTAAGTAAGTTCATTTATATAATTTATTAAAAAAGATAATATAAATTAATTTTTTAGCCACCTAAATAAAAAAAAAACCCACACATTGGGGACGTGGCATAGTTGGGTCAAGTAATAATGATATCTGACAGTGGTTAAAATCACTATCATAAAAAACTGTAGACAGTGTTTGCTTTTAAAAAATTGGTGGATTATTCCAAAAGCTACATGATCTTCTATTTCCTTATTTATATCCTGATTATAAGTGTAATATATGAGTAAATATATACATACATATATATATATATTTATAGTTCTTTTTTCTATATGCATTTTTAAGTTTTAAATGCCCCCTGTATAAAGACTAATGGTCTGATTTAACAAAAAAAGTAAATCGCATAAATACAGAATATAAATAGTACTTATCTTAAAAAAATTATAATGATTTATACATTTTTCAAAAAGTTATAGTATTATAAAGTTAAAAATATAAAATATAAAATCGAAAAATTTCACACAAAAATATCATTCGGTAGCCATTTTCACCACGAAGACAAGTCCAGAGGTCAAATTTTTTTTTTCATAATAAAGTACATTATATTAGCTTTAATTTAAGATATATATAAAAGTGTCAGACCTTTCGGAACACTTTCAAAAGTTAAGTTGAAAAAGTTCTACTTTCTATATGCATTTTTTATATTTAAAGCCCCCCCCGTATATAGGGAAATGGTCTGATTTAAAAAAAAAGTAAGTCGAATGAAAGATGTATATGAAATTGTTAGGATTAATATGCAGTCAGATATTAGTAAAATTACTATTTACATTAAATTTATCAGAAAAGCTCTATTTGTTTTTGCATTTATATCGTAATAGATCACTTAAATAAAAATCATAATAATCATTTCTAATTAACTTTTGGTATTTAAAAAGATTCTACAATGGAAATATTCAGAACTTAATTAATTTTAATGATTTACTTTAACTAAAAGAACCAATAAAAAAAAAACACAGCACAGGGGGGTCGCGGCACAGTGGTGACGTGGCATAGTTGGATCAAGTATAATGATATCTGACAGTGATTAAAATCACTATAAAAAAAAAAACGCTTCGATGCAAATCTTTAGATAGTAATTAATTTTAAAAAATTGGTGTATTATTCCAAAAGCTACATGATAAAATAGTTCCTTATTAATATCCTGATTAAGATAAAGTATGTCGAATGAAAAAAGGATTCTTAAAAAATACTACTTCTCATAAAAAAATTGTATTGATCCATACATTTTTTAAAAAGTTATAGCCTTTTAAAGTAAAAAATGTAAAATATAAAATCGAAAAATTTCACACAATAATATCATTCGGTAGCCATTTTCACCACGAAGACAAGTCCAGAGGTCAAATTTTTTTTTTCATAATAAAGTACATTATATTAGCTTTAATTTAAGATATATATAAAAGTGTCAGACCTTTCGGAACACTTTCAAAAGTTGAGTTGAAAAAGTTAATATTTTATGAAAAAGTTGTAATTTTAAATCTCCCCCTGTGGGAAGGTTAAGTGTCAGATTTACAAAAAAAATATACAAAATGATAGATAAAGACATCAAGCGTCTATAAAAAAAAAAATTATATTGATATGTTTATTTTTGAAAAAGTTACGGCAGTTTTTAATAAAAAATTGAAAACATTTCGAAAATTAACGATTTTTAAATTTGTAATTTTTTTGGAGGTTTCCCCCATTTACGGGGAACGAGGGAAATTTTTTCAATTTTTGAGGGCAATGTCTTCGACTAGATACGATTTGTGATCTTTTGACGTATCGTTGAAAGAAATCGGTTTAGTGAGGGCTGAGAAAAAGTGGTAACAGACACAAAAAAAAAAAACATCATAGTAATACCAATACCTTCTTCTCAGCTTCGCATCGAAGCTAAAATAAGATTTTTGTAAAAAAAAACTTTTTATATTTTTGAATTTATAACGCTATAACTTTTTGAAAAATGTATAAATCATTATAATTTTTTTAAGATAAGTACTATTTATATTCTGTATTTATGCGATTTACTTTTTTTGTTAAATCAGACCATTAGTCTTTATACAGGGGACATTTAAAACTTAAAATTAAACTTATATATATAAAACACATCATAGCAAAATTAATACCTTCTGAGCTTCGCATCGAAGCTAAAAGTATTGTTTTAAGAAAGTATTAAGAATTTTTTTATTTTTTTAAATTATTATATGGCTCCTTAAGCCATGAGGTTGCATTAGATTTACAGAGCTTGTGTAAAAATCTTATCAAATCATTTTTAGGTAGAGCCAAGGCCAAAAAGCTAAAATAGAGGCTAAGGCGATGATGATTTTAAGATTATTATAATTAATTATTTTTGTAAAATCAATAATTTAAAAATAAATTTTAGATAAAAATATTTTATAATATAAGAAATTATGTTTATGTTTAATGAATGTAATGTTGATAGTTACAAAAAGTTTTAGATATTCAAATGTAGAAAAAAATTAAGAAAAATTATGAGGCATATTGATTATAATGTTAATTTCTAAATATATTTTTTCTATTACATAATTTTATCAAGTTTTGGCATAGCAACTTACCTCTTGAAGAGCTTTTTTATCTGCAATTTTTGTACTTTGTAAAGTTCTAATAACATTTTTTGCTCCTTCTACAACAGCAGCTTCAATACGTAAACGGTGTCTTAATTCAGCAACACGTTCTGCAAGTGGTGTTTCTAATCGTGTTTCAGATTTATCTACTTAAAAAAAATGTATGTAGAGAGAAAAATATATAGATACATATAAATTAAGAAGTTCTATTTATTGCAAATTATTTAAATCTATAGTTTTTAACTATACTCAAAATTAAATTTCTAACTTATTTTGTTTAAATTACTACAAATCCATGTTTTAATTATCAGTCCTAAATTAATCATATATTAAAATCATCCTAAACATACCAAGTTACACATTTTACTGATTTGTCTCTAGTTAAATGGTAATACAGCGAAAATTTAATAATTTAATGATTTTTCATGAAAATTTTTTAAAAGCTACCTTGCTAAAGGTATTACTCCACATATTACTAACTCACTTCATTTCATTTAAAAATGCTTTAAGCTATATTTATAAAAATGACTTTATATATATGTAATACATTTATTAATCATTAATTAATTGGTAGGCAGGTATAATAGGTCCGTATATAATTGGTAATAGGTCAGTGGTCTGATTTTTATGATTAATATACATTTATGAGACAAAATTGTAAATTTAAGCTATAATTTTTTTAGGAATTCTTTAAAAGAAAAAAATATTTTCTTCCAAACAAATAATTAGAATTTTTATTTTCTTATTTAATGTTTACTCATTTTTTGATAATCTATGGCTTATTATTATAATTGCTAAATAACTAATTTTTAATTTACAAACTTATGTGAACTTTGTATGTAATATCGAAATAAATAAAACAAGTATTTTAAGATTTATGTTACAAAAAATTAATTTAAATTATTTATAAATTTTAAAACTGAACATAAAATAATAAATTTATTGAAAAACAATCATATATAAAAATTACAATTATTATTACACTGACCCTCATACATTGTTTAATCAAATATTACAAATATTTTTGTATATATTTAAATCTATTAGTTTTTTATTCAATAATATAAAGAAAAGTAAACAAACCATTTTTATTTTCACCATTAGACTTCATTTCTTCTTTTTGATGTTTAATTTGTTTTCCTTTAAGTATTGCCATCCTTAAAAACTCAATTTTAAGTTTAGAATCAGATAACATTTGTTGGGCATCACTTAATAACTTCTTGTCACGCGAATGACTACTACTTAAACTTTGAATCATATTTTCAGCACCTTGTTTAACCTAAAATTTGCATGCATTGAGTAAATACATAATTCAAGAATATATATCAATGACTTAATACAAAAAAGAGTTAAGTGCATGTTTGACTTTTAAGACATAAGACTATTATGTCTTATTAATTATTATTTTTATGATGCAATTTTTATATTAAAACCTCATATGAGGTATAATATATTTAAAATATATATACAATACATGTTACTCTAAGGTTAACACCATTAAACAATTAATTTGATTTCATTAAAAATAAAAAACCTTAACTTTCTTTTACATTAAGCCATCAATATGATCCATTTTACATTATTTTTAAAGTAAAATAATTACCTTTAACTCAATATTTAATTGTTTTTCAAGTTGAACTAGTCGAAGATCGCTAACAAAATTTGATTCCTGGCTTTGATTTTGAAATTGACCAACAGTTTGAACAGGCATACCTAAAATAATGTTAACTATTTTATTGAATAAGAAAGACGAAGTGAAAAACATTTTATTTCAAGTTAAATTCACTTACAATAAAAATACAGAAAAATTGATTAAAATGGTTATTTATCAAATTAAATTTAGTTTTAATCTTATAATACAAATATTCAAATATTAGTCTGTAATATCTATATAAAATGGTAATTTTTTTGAAAAATTAATTTATCAATTTTATAAACTAAATTTAATGATTATTTATTTTTTAATCGGGAAAAAATTGTTTTTATTTAACTAAATTGATTTGTTTTTTTTTAATTTTAGATTTTGTAGGAAATTAAAGAAAAATAGAAATATTAAGGAAACTAACATAGTTTTTATGAATGAAAAAAAAAAAAAAATGAATTAATACTTTACTTGATGTAAATCTATTAGATGACGTGTATGATCCTGATTTTCTATTATGACCTGAATTAATAAATGAATTGTTGGTAGAACAAGAACTTGACTGCTGTTCGGCTCCTTGGCTAAGAATAACAAATGATTGCAATTCCTGAAGTTCTGCTTGCAATTCTGTTAGTTTCAATGTTGACTCTTTGACAATTCCTTCAACATCTGATAATGATTTGCGATCAGTAGATACTTCTCGAATTTTTTTTGCACCTTCAATAATTTTAAGTTCACGTCGAATTTCTCTTCTTATGGCTTCTTTTAATTCATCTATTCTGGCAGGAATAAGTGCATTCATAGCAGATGGATCAGGCCCAGTACCATCCATGTTTGCTGCTACAAGGCCATATTTAAATCCTAATTCATAAATAACTGGGTTCCAATTATATTCACCCTAAATTAAACACAAATAAAATACTAAAATAACAATTAACAATATATTTAATAAAAAATGCTTCAGAAAAATTTCAAATATTATTAATCCTTAAAATGACTTATCTTACAAGTAATTATTGTGATTCCTTTAATACTAGGCAGTCAATTTCGCTAAAAATAATAATTTTTTAGCTTCGATGAGAAATAATACCTTCTAATACCTTCTCAGCTTACTATGATGTGTTTTTTTTTTTTTGTCTGTTGCCACTTTTTCTCAGCTTTAACCGATTTAGATGAGCAATACGTCAAAAGATCACAAATCGTATTTAGTTGAAGACATTAGCCTTTAAAATTGAAAATATTTCAGTCGTTCCCCTTAAATGGGGAAAATTTCCAAAAAATTACAATTTTTCAAATTGGTAAATTTCGTCATTTTTTTCACTTTTTTTTTTCTTTAAACTACCATAACTTTTTCAAAAATGTACAAAACAACTTAATTTTTTTTAAATTGAACCTTAAATATTTTCCTTTTATTTGATATCATTTTTTTGAAAATCTAACACTTAACCTGCTCACAGGGGGGGAGGATTAATAGTAACTTTTTTATGAAAATTTACTTTTTCATCTTAACTTTAGAAATTGTTCCGGAAATACTGCGTCCTTTAAACATATATCAAATTAAAGCTTGTCATGTACTATGAATTGAAAAAAAAATTTTTGTCCCGACACCTTATCATCTACATGCAAACGGCAGCCGTAGTTAAAAATATGCTATTTTTGTGTTAAAATTTTTAACTTTAAATTGCTATAACTTTTCGAATAATGTATGTATCAAAAGAAAATTTTTTTTCTCAATATATTATATATATTTCTTTCATTTGACATACTTTTTTTTTTAAATTGGACCATTTTTTTTTATACATGAGGGCGTTCAAAACTTGAAACATACATATGACAAGTAGAATTTTTTCAACTTAACTTATCAAAATGTTCCGGAATTACTGCGTCCTTCAAATATATGTTAAATTAAAGCTTACAATAAATACTATAAGTTAAAAAAAAAAAAATTTGTCCCAAAATCTTTTCTTCTATGGGAAATGGCCGTCAAAATTAAGAAAAATGTAATTTTAATGTAAAAATCACTGTTTATATGAAATATTTTAATACTTTAACTGCTATAACTTTTTAAAAATTAACAAATTAAAATAATTTTTTTTTACATTGAAACCTTAGATATTTTTCTATCATTTAATATAATTTTTTTGAAAATCTGACTCTAAACCTGCCCACAGGAGGAATTAAAAATATCAATTATTGTACACAAGTTAAGCTTTTTCAATGTAATTTTTGAAAATGTTCCGGAAATATATAATACATTAAAATTTATATTATATACTTAACTATGAAAAAAAAAAAAGAAAAAAAAAAATTTGAAATATAGAATTTCTTCTTGATGAAAATGGCTACTGTATTCAAAAATATACTATTTTTTGTGTTAAAATTCTGTGTTTTGTATTTTATTTTATTTAAAAATATCTTACAAGGGGAATACACTGACTTTCATGAATATTATATAATTTAATTGACATAGTATAAAGTTCATAAGACATAAAAAGTTAATCATAATAAAATTTTTTTTTGCTTTGTAAAAGTCGAAAAAGTAACTTAAAAATTTGAATTAGCTTAAATTGCTAATTTTATTAATTGGAAAAAGTGATGAACAGTTGCTGAATAGGTAGCACTTGTGTCTATCACGGTTAGGGTACCTGGTTCGTATCCGCCTGTGGCAATTAGTATTTTACATTTTTTTTAAGTTAGAAAAAATGTCCAAATCATTTGATTTTTATCTCATTTAGATTTATTAACTTCAATAAATATCAAGGAACCCATCACTGTAGTTTCCCCTCGCGAGAAGAAATTTTTTATTCATGTTAATATTATTTTATTATATGGTTTTATTTGCGGTTTCAATTTATTTTCCCAACCCTCACTTAACCTACTTTATTCAACGATATGTAAAATGATTGAAATGCATATTTATTTGAAAAAATTACCCTCAAAATTGAAAAAAAATCCCTTAATCAAATAAAAAGTAGCTTAACCAACTTCATCCTTACAAACAATTAAAATCAATCATTTCTAATATTTTAAAAGTATTTATTGTTAAATTAGATTTGATAAGATAAAAGTATTGAACTACAAAATTAAATAATTTTACTTTGTAATTTGTTAATTTATTAACTCTATTTGTGTGTGCTACTACCAGTCTACAACATTTCAAATTTTTTTGAAAAATGTTATATAAATCATAAATTTAAAAAAACAATTATTTTTAGTTTCACCTCAATTTAACAATAGATTTTTACAATTATAATAAAATTTTATAATAATACACTCAAGTGAGTAGATCTTTTAACAATTTTTTTTTTATTGGTTTTTTTAGTTAAAGGAAATAGAAGTTGATGTTGCTTTGTAATTATCCACCAATTTCTTAGAATGTTCTAGGTTTTTTTATTTTTGGATTTTGTAAATTACATATGTATTTTTATTTATCTATTATAAAATATATTTTATATTCATTCCTTATGCATTATCTTAATTAGCAACAAAAATTTTTAACTAACTTGTAAAATAAAATAATGTAGTTAAGAAAATGACTGGTTAATAACAATTTTTAGATCAGTATTTTAGAAGATATTAACAATTTAAAATAATGACTAGATGTAAGGAGTGAGTGCTGTTAATTTAAAAAGGTCTAAAAATATTAATAGCTTTTAAAATACTGGTCCAAAAGTTTTTTTCAAGTCATTTTCTTAATTACATTATTTTATATTTTATAAGTTAGTTAAACATATATGTTTCCATTTTAAAAATATAGTCGATATCCTTATAAAGCATAAGGGATGAACATAAAAAATATTTTATAACAAATAAATAAAGATACATATGTAACAAACAAAAGCCAAAAATAAAATTCAATAAAAAATTATTATTTTAAGAGAAATTGAGTGGCTAATATTAAAAGAATTATACTATATAACTACAAATAATTTTCAAAACCTTTTAAAATTATTACAACATAGCATACAAAGTTAAAACTAATATTTTTATATTTTTAAACACTAGTAATTTACAACTTATTGGAATTCATCCAATATTTTGTTAAATAACAACATATAGTTATATTTATTACTATTGAAGCAAATAAATACTTTTCTTTATAGATTAAACAACAATATTTAATTAAGATATATATTTATAAACTAGTCATTTAAAAGGATAGAATTTTACTATAAAGTAATATTTGTTAAGTAAAAACCATTTTAGTACTTTTATATACAACTCAAAAATGATAAGACATAATAATACAAATAAAATTCATATAAATATATTTTAAAAATAAAAATATTCATACATAAAACAAAATAACATTTTTCACTGATCTATGCAATTAAACTAGGGTTGAGTGTTTGACCAATCAATATCTTTTGTGGTTAATTGACAAGATTTTTACTCATAAAATTGTCAAGTTCAATAAAAAAAAGTTACTAGTTATTTCAAATAGCTAATAGAAATTTTTGATTTTCATATAAAAGGTAATTCTTTTTATTTGAAAAGAAGAATAAATTGTATCTATTTAGTATAAAATCTACAACAAGGTAATCTATTTAATATTACAAAAAAATTTTGATACCAAATAATTCTGTAATTGCTGTTTAAATCATAGACAGTTGAATACCTGTTTTGACCAATCAATTGACATTATGCTAACTTACAATAGTTATTGTAAAAAGTTATTGAAATTTAAACGTTTATTATAAACGAATATAATGAGTTATAATAAATGTAACTTTTACTTTATAAATAAAGGATAATTTTTACTACTATATTTTAAATCAGTTAAAAGTATAATAAACTTTTCATTCTGTATAAAAAGTTTGGTATTTTAATAAGTTTAATAAGTTTTAAAATAAAATATGATAAAACATATCAAAATATTATATTAGTCATCATATCTCATTCATTAATAAATATATTTCATAGAATAATTTATAAATGGATTAAAAATTGAAGTAAGAAAGGAGTATGTACCAATGAATTTAATAATTTAACCAGTTCTTAATTATACAATTTATAAAAATAAATTATTACAAATGAAAAAAACAAGAACAATATGACATATGAGAAATATATAAAGTTATGCCAATATACAAGATACATTAATCAGGGATGTATCAAATCTAAAAATATAGGAAAATGAAAAATTTTAATTAAATTTTTTTTTTAATAATTATTTTTTGGTAGTATCTTTTTACATTACAAACTACCATCTAAAACAATTAAATTTTGCTATGTGAGTGGGATGATACCTCTAAGGGACAGCTCTGCATACATTATGTTAAGAACAAACTAAATAAAAGATTGCTAAAAGATGTTTTTTTAAGAAATAATAACAGCAAAGTTTTAATAACAAATTTCAAACCATCCTAGAAAATCCATAAAAATGTGATAATAACAACCCTTACCAAATAATCTAATATAATAAATGTATTAAAAAATATACATAAAATTAGAGAAGATAATTCAAAAATATTTACAAAACATGTTAATGTATAAAAACCAACTAACATAATTTAGACTAATCAGTTAAACAAAAAAAAAAGGAAGAAATGATGGATCTATAATTATGACAATTTAGAAGAATAACAAACAAAATTGGCATACAGACTGATATTAATCAAAGAAATAAATGGAGAGTAAACGACGAAAAATTGGAGAATTAACTTAATTAACATCTTTACAACCTTGAGTCAATTAATGATGGAATAGTGAATTTTATACCAATTAATAACAACTCATAAGCATATATATTAATTTTAATTGAAATTAACTTAACATATAGATTGTGATGACTACGAAGTATCGAACGTTAAGTCAGGTGAATGAACTTACCTGATAATATTCAGCCATTTTCAACCAACCAAACACCGCCAATATAAAAAAATTACAACTATAAACAACTAAGAAGAGATAGCTAGAATGTCAAACATCGCTGCTAACCGGTTGAAAAACGTTTTCACGAATTTAAAAACAAATAATCATCTCGTTCGCCGCCACCGTTTGCGTGAAATCCGGCACACGAATACCATTTTTCACTTGAAAACAAATCGCGCCGAGTAGGGGAAAAAATTACACGAACTCGCGCAGAGAATAACTGATGGAATTTGATGAATGACTCGCCTGGTTCTCCGCACTTCATAGCTTCATAAGATTAGAGATGCGCAACTGCGAATGCAATTCACAGTACGAGTTGAAAAACAGTGTTGCCACAACAAATATCTTTAATTTTTAGATTCGATAAAATATAAAATCAACTCTACAAATGATAAAAAACAAAGATAAAATCGCATTAATAAAGAATGCGCTCTAGTATATAAAAGTATTTTAGTTTCAGATATTACGGTGCTTGTAATTGGGGAAGCATCTAATGTTTTCACTTTTATCTTAGTATTAAAAATATTCATTTTAACGCAATTTTGGCTTACCACTTACTACCAAATCGTCACATAAAGGTTATAAAAAACGTTGTATTTTAAATTTATTTTGATGAGACTTGTTTATGTTAACGACTCTGAAGGAAAACTTGTATGTTGAACATAAGCGCAAATAGTAAAACCATTTTGGGAATTTAATTACTCAATATTGATATTACGAATATAAATTAAATATGTATTTATAAAAATAATTTGAGTTGCTAAGTAGTAATAACACTCCCTATTTACGCCTGTGAAGTCGAAACGATCGTAGTTTAACAATATTCTAAACGATACGGTAAAGATATAATTTTTTTTCGTTTGAAAAGGATAGTAAACATTTTTCTTACATATTGAGGGAGATTTAGTAACACCATTGGTCTTACTACTTTCAAAATAATTATTTAAATTTTGTTATATTATCATTTTTAAGTATCTTTAAAACTCTTAAGTATCTTAAAAAATAGGTAATAAGTAACAAAATTCTAGTTACTTTTTTTTTAAAATATGAGAAAAGGGTAATATTACTATTTATAACCAAAGTAACCAAGCTTATTTACTCATAACATGAGCAAATAGTCAATTTTTTTATGGCGCCAAGATCTATGATACGTCACCGACCTTGACAATATACTGTTTACTGTTTGTAGTAAACATATAGTTTACATATAAGTTTACGCATTTTATTAATTATAAATTTGTGATTAATTTTTTCAAAGTCTCAAATGGTAATTTGATTATAAGAAAGTTGTGATATATTTAGATGAATGAGTAAAAATGTCATTACATATACATTAGTGGGCTAAAATTAAAACTCACAAGTACCATGATGAAATTTTTCAAAAAATTCAAAAGAGCTAAAAAATATTTATTATCCAAAGAAAACTTTTTAGCATTGATACAAAATTGAGAAGGTACTATTTTACCATGACGTGTTTTTTTTGTGTCTGTTGCCATTTTTTTCTCAGCTCTCACTAAACCGATTTCTTATCAAAATATACATCAAAAGATCACAAATCGTATCTAGTTCAAGACATTACACTCATTAATTGAAAAATATCTTTCGTTCCCTATAAAAGGCGTAAATGCCCCAAAAAATATGATATTTAAAATCGGATAATTTCGACATTTTTTTCTAAAAATTGCCATAACTAATTTAAAAATGAACAAATTAAAATAATTTTTTTTATATAGAAACATTTTTATATAGTCCCTATTATTTGATATAATATTTTTGAAAATTTAACCCTTTACTTGCCCCCAGAAGGGATTCAAAATAGCAACTTATTTACAAAACTTAACTTTTTCAACTTAAATTTTAAAAATGTTCCAGAAATACTGTGTCCTTAAAATATATGTAAAATTAAAGTTTATGTTACGTACTATAAAATCAGAAACATATATGTCCCGACGACTTATCTTCTACGTGCAAACGGCTACCATAGTTAAAAAATGTATGTGTTGAAATTTTTGATTTTCTATTTTAAATTTTCAACTTTAAATTGCTATAACTTTTTGAAAAATGTATAGATTAACACAAATTTTTGTTTCTAAATACTTTATATATACCTCTTTCTTCCGACAAACTTTTTTTTTAAATCGGGAAATTTTCCATTATACAGAAGGCATTCAAAACTTGAAAAATATGTACAAAAAGTAGAACTTTTTCAACTTAATTTTTGAAAATGTTCCGGTAGTACGGCGTCCTTTCAAACATGTTTAATTTCAGCTTATGTTACGTACTATAAATTAAATAACGGTAGCACAGTGGAGTCGTGGCACAGTATGGACGTGTCTTAGTGGGACTTAGTGATTATAGTCACTAACACAAGAAACGATTCGATGCAAATCTGTAGATAGTGTTTGATTTTAAAAATCAATTGGATTTTTCTAAAAGCAACATAATCTTCTATTTTCTTATATATATCCTGATTACAAGTTTTATAATTTATAAGTGTAATATATGAGTAAATATGTATATATATTTAAATATTTATTAAAGCAATTAAATATAGTAAGAAATTGATGTTTAATAACTTAGTATAGTAATTTTTACGGAGCAATTGTATAAAATTATAAAGTAGTAGTTACTTTTTGGCAGATGTGTATAAATTATGAAGGGCTTGATACAAAACTCTTTAGAAGATAATTAGTGATTAATTATGAATAAATGGTCTACAAAGAATTTTCATCAGAGTCAAAAATATACTTTTCTAAACCCATTTTTCGTACTGATAATAATTTGTAAATAGATTTTTTCTATTGCCACTAAATTTTGATATTATTAATAATTAGTTCAAAACGAGTATTCAAATAGAAAAATAATTTGAAAAAGTTAACTTTTTATACGTAATTTTCAAGTTTTGAACCCCTAGTATGAGGAAAAATGGTTTGATTAAAAAAAAAGTATTTTCGATAAAAGGATTACATATAATGGATTTCTAAAAAAAATCGTGTTGATCCATACATTTTTCAAAAAGTTATAGCAATTTAAAGTTGAAAATATAAAATATAAAATCGAAAATTGAAAATTTTAACACAAAAACAGCACGTTTTTAACTACGGCAGCCTTTTGCAAGTAAAAGATCAGTCATTGGGAAAATTTTTTTTTTAATGTATAGTACATAACATAAGCATTAATTTAACTTATGTTTGAAGCTCGAATTATTATTATTTTGACGTATTGTTGAAAGAAATCCGTTGGGTGAGACCTGAGAAAAAGTGGTAACAGACACACAAAAAAAAAAAGAAGAAAACTCATCATAGTAAAATCGAAGTTAAATGAAAAATCCTAAGATTATAGAGTTAAAGAACCAGTTACCAACCCATAATTGAGTATAATAGTTAGTTCAACATACCTCAAGTAGTGTGGCCTTAATATTTATACTAGAAAAACACATATGACTTTCTTTGATATTTTAAAATAAGTTATATATTTTAATAGAATAAATTTGTTTTTTTTTTTAATATTACGTGAATTTTTATGATAATGACCGTATCAATAGTGTCCTAAATACTTTTTTACTATAATATTTGAGAAAGGCATAGATCAAAGAGGGGCGATCCACTTATTGTCCCCCATATAACCGTAACTATAGACCTTTCAAAATTGGAATTTCCCTCATTTTAAAAAATGAGTTTTTTTTTATAAAGAAATTAAATGATAAAAATTGGAAAAATTATGTTATTTCACTTTAAAATACGCTTCCTGTCAAAGTTTTTCATGATAAACTTATTCTCGACTTTAAATATGTATGCTATTGTACAATTAAGTAATAATAACTATTGTCAAATAATTTTTATATTATATTAATCTAAATGTTAAATATCAATTATACTTCACATTTAAATTTTGCTTGTGGTGATAAATTGTTTTTTTTTTCAAGACATTACTAAAGTGATTTTTGTAAAATAGAATTAAGCCAAAAAAATAAATTTATGTTATAAGTATAAAATATGTAAAGAAATTGTTTATCCATTTGTGATATCAAGAGTGAGATTACCCTACTGAATCAAAAGTAATAGAAGAAATTTAGAAAAAAAAACTTTCATAACAATTGCTTTAACTAATTTAATTTCAGACAACAAATTTAAAAAAGCTAATTACTTCTTTATTTTACAATGAGTACAATTTGACATTAATGTAAAATAACTTGCCCTTAAAAAAAAATAGTTTTATAGGTGTCAATAAGAAGAGGTATAACCCTTTAAAACTTCCCATAACCCGGTCCCCACCACAAATTAGAAAAATTATAAATATTGTTATGTAATATTTTAAAAATATTTTATTACAATAATGTATTATTGAAACAAATGAAATAAAAGTACATTTGAAATATGATTTTGTCTTTTTTTGTGGGGGATGAAAGAAAACCCTTTTATTCTGATTTACATTGGTTTCGAAAATCATAGGTAGAAGGGCTTGGTTTTCTCAGGTAATTGATAAAATTATGTTTTGTTATACAGGGTGTTCAGTAAATAAGGAAACGAATTTCTATTGTACTCATTGTTTGTAACAATTTAACTGTTTCCTAACTTACTGAACACTCTGTATAAACAAATTTAGAGAAGCGGAAAAATACATATGTATTGAAAAGATTATATTATTTTCTTTTTAATTGGCCTATTAAATCAAATGAATAAAAACGTTATTTTAGTTACTCCTATGCTGTAAATATGATTTACCTTAGCCATCGCAATATGAAGTAACGGTACTGTTTTTTGGTTTATTTGTTTTTTACCATCATACTTTTAGTATAATTCAATATTAACATAATTATTATTATTTTATCTATACTATACTTCATATAATAAACTAAAAGCTGTATATGAAAAGGATGGATGTTGCTCTCTACCCAAGCGTAAAAATTTTACTTATAATTGTATAAAGTTGCAATATGTCCAAATGCAGTTTCATACGTAGCAAGCAAAATCTATACGTTAACAATCAGAGACAACAGTCGTTTTTCTACTGACGATTTAAATTGTTAAAATGTTATGATATTATCACAGTCTTAAATAATTTAGTCTGTGTTATTATTATGAAACTGTTGATAATATAATTTTGATTACGTGTTTAATATTAAGTAATATCAACAGGTGTTTTGTTTTGTGATAATTGATAACAGTAATAAAATAATAATACAATGATTAAGCCTTCTATCTATACTTTGTAAATTTATCTGATCCACAACTGTTGACTCACAAACTTTTTAATTCTATCGGAGATAATTTCATATTCGAGGTAATTATTAAATATCAAAATAATATGACGCAGTTGATATACTTTAAATTATTTTTTTGTTTAGTTAGTTAAAATTATTAAAAGATAGAATAATATTATTTTCTATTTATTAATATTATTAGTACTTGTTATGATTTCACATCCTTTTAAAGACTTAATGATTTAACTATTTTTATCTTCTAAATTAATTATTATTTTACTTTAAAAATCAAACTAAATTTGCATTGTAATATTTTTTTGTTTTTTATTTAATTGGACAGTTATTTAATACATAATACATATATATTTCTGATGAGTTATAAGTTAACATTATTATATGTATAAGATCTTGGTATAGTTTATAATGTTAAAAGGAAATCAATGAATTTATAGTCATGGAGTGTGATTAATGTTTAAACAATTTCAGGTAAGACTCAGAATTCGTATTATAAAAACAGTATTATACTTTAGTAATATTAAAATATTTAGAGATCTAATGGTTTTTGTTTGGTAATAATATTTATTTAAATTTATTAATGTGAACTAGCTATTTTTTTTAGTTAAATATTTTTATATAACCTTTTCACATCATAATAATTTAGTTTCTGTTCTAGGAATTATATTTATCGGTTTCATAAAAATTGTTTGCTTTTTTAGTCATAATTGATAAAGAAGAAATTCTTTCTTTGTCTATTCTCAGAGTTTTTAGCATTATAGTAGGTTTATTTTTGTTTGTAGTGTACATAATGCATTTTAATATAATTGCTAATGAAACAATCTATATTAATGTGTAGTTAATTCTTGTAATTTATTTTTATTTTGTAGATGAATAATGGAGAATACCAATTATTATCCTATACCACCTCCCAGAACTACCAAATCAAATGAATGTTTAAAAAAAAAACCAGTTCCATTACCACGAAAGAATGTTAATAATAGCAAATTAAATAGTTATAGAGACAGTTCATATTCAATAATCAAAGAAGAAGTTAATAGTTTGTATAGAAAACATATTAAACCTGAAATAAAAATGTCTTCAGATAATGTTCAAGATAGAAAAAAAGCAGTTATTGAAAATACTAAAAATGTCGGTATTCGTATTGAGAAATCATTTCGAAGTTTGTTACCAAAACCTGCTCGGCGTCATACAATAAGCCAAACATTTGAAGAATACAAATCAGATATTGTGAGTGAATCTTCAGTTGAAGATAATGATATATTTTCTTCTATTAGTTTTGATTCACCTATACCATTAGATAGTAGCTCAGAACGTTCATTTAGTATTTATAATGCAGAATCTGATATTTATGGATCTCAGCCACCAAATTTCCCCCCTCCTCCTTTACCTAAAGATTTATTGTATGATCAAGTACTAACATCTAGCAATTCTAGCAGTCAATGTGGTTCTTATACAAATGAAAATATATACGAACTAATTTCAATTAGTCAAGCTAAATCATCTAAAAATATGCCATATGAAAACTGGAATTATGTCAATAAATTCCAAACATTAAGTACAGATGATTTAAGCAGTAATGATGCTGAATTTACTTGCAAAAAATCAGATAAAAACTCAAAGGAATTATCTTCAGAAAACATATCAAACATAGAAAATAATAACTATGATAATAATATTGTTATGTTCGAATTTGATCCTTTACACGATGGTAATGATTCAGTTTCTAAAATTAAAATTGAAAATGAAGACTGTGTATTGTTAAAAGAAATTGATGAAATATTATATTCTTCTAACCAATATTCCATTGATGACAAAAGTTTAAGTGATTATGAATTAAACAATTTTGTTGATGATTTAAATACAATACCAGAACCTCCAGAACGTGTAGACTCTATTGTAGACTGTGGTAGCTCTAAATTGAAAGAAAACTATGAAGTAAATCCAAATACTATAGAAACTGCGTTTAAGACTGAATTACAAGAAGAGCCAATCTATGAAAAATCAAGAAAAAACTCAATAAAAAATTGGCTTAATATGAAACATACTGTTAAGAAAGTAACTGAAGGATCATCTGATTCTGTACGCAAAATACGTCTGAAGTTAAAACCTATAGAAGTTAATAAAAAGGAAGAATCTGTTGTTATTCAATCTAATATTTTTCATAATGGCACATTATTTATATGCTTAAATGAAAAATCAAAAGATTTACAAAAAAATTGGTGTCAAATTGCAGGGAATTACTTAAAATATTCAAAAAATAAAGGTCAAATTGAAAATTCAATTTTGTTAACTACCATTTCAAGTATTCAAATTATAAATGAAATAAAACAAAGGTATTTTATAATAATTTTTTAATTTTAAATGTAATTTTTATCATTATAGGTTTAAATGGTTTCGAATAAATTATTTAAATGTCATAATTAAAACATTGACACAATTAATATTTTTACTAATAAAGAACACGTAAAAACAACAACTAGATGATTATTTTAATACTAGCCACTCAATTTCTCCAACTTTTTTTACGAATATGTTTTTTTTAGCTATCGTTAATTACATATATATTTCTAATTATTTGTTATAAAAATTTTTTTATGTTCATCTCTTATGTATTATAGGAGTTCCAATTTTGTCTTTTTAAAATGGTATTATATATATTTGATTAGATTATAAAAAGAAAATGATTTAATTAAGAAAATGACAAGATTACAACAAACAGTTTTTCTAAAGATATTTACAATTTTGCACCTAGACAGAAGGAGGAGAGAGGCCATGAAATAACTAATGATAAAAATAGCAATATTCTTGATTCACCTCCATTCTATATTTTAAAATGCTAATAATTTCCAAACTATTATTTCAACAGTTGTATTGGCTAGTTATTTCTTAATTAAATAATCTTCTATTTTATAAGCTAGTTGAATAAAAAAATAAAGTCTATACCCCTATAAAGCATACGTGATGAACATAATAAATATTTTCTAACAAATTATTAAAAATATTTGTGTAATTTACAAAATCTAAAAAAAATTTTAATGGCTAAGATTAAAAGATTAAATATTATTACTATAAATTAAACTATATTATTTTTTACTATTCTTTTCTAAAGTTTCAAATTTTTGACTTAATATACATGTATTATAAACAAGAGATTACAGGTAGGTAATTGTTTTTTTACTATGTAATTATTTGTTGATGCATAGCATTGCATTTATTGTCAATTATGATTTTTTCAATAAAAATGCTTTCTGTATTGTCAGTTGGTGTATTTATAAACTCACAACAATGTGCATTATTACCATATTTTAAACATTTAAAACTTTAAAATTTTATATCTAATTAATGAATAAAGTTATATAAAAATTCAAGCCCTGTTTACTCTTAAAGTAGAAACTCAAATATTTTATTAAATTCAAAATATGTGTTCCTATTTAAAAAAACAAAGTTGATGCCTTACAAGGGATAAGAGATGAACTTCAAAAATATTCCATAGTTAATAATTTAAGAATAATATATAACTAAAAGTAACCAAAAAAAAAAAAAAATATTTTTAAAATTATTTTTATTCTGTTAGTAATTAAGTGGTTCATAATAAAAAAAATCACTCTGTACAATAAAAATATTTCATTGTGCATAATTATTTTCAAAATATTGATGTGATTTAAAAAAAAAAACTGTTTTATGTTTATAATATAAATATAATATTTTTATTATTAAAACACTGCTCGGGATTTTATGGCCATTATTAATATAATATTTATAATTGTATTTATAATTGTATTTATTATTGGTTAAAATTGTAATTGAGTTTTATTAAATTTTGGTATAGTGATTTGGAAAACATATATTGTTTTAAAATTAATTTCTTGCCTCGAGTTCGTTCAGTTACGTTTGGTGCATTATCTACAACAGAAAGACGAGTTTGGATGCAAAAGTTTTTAGAAACTGTAACTTGCTTTTTTCCATCAATAATGTCTTCTGAATTTAGCCGTGCTGGCCGAACTACTTTAAAAGTAACAAATTATGAAAGTATACATTATTTGCTTTGTTTAATCAAAAAAATTTAAAATTAAGGAAGGTATTAATAGTGAATGGATTCAGTCATGGATTTTATTGCATAATAGAAACCTTATTTATATCAACAACAATAATGAGCCAGAGTTAGTTGATCTGAGAAAAGTCAGAAACGTAGGTTAGTGGTTTAAAATTATTTTTTAAAAATTTTATTCTATTTGTAAAATTTTCTTATTTATCTTAAAACTATTTTAGTGTTATTTTTAAATATACCTTTAATATTATTTTTTTTAGTTGCAAATGTAGATAATGACTTACAATCTACTGTATTGTTCTTGGATTATGTAACAAAATCAATTTATATGTGTTTTGAAGGAGAGTTAGAAGTTATAATGTGGCAACAAACTATAAAAGCAGAGACAGTTAATACTACTCCTCATTTAATAGACCAGCAACTTAACAAAGATCAAGTTCCTGTAATAGTAGACAAATGTGTTAATTTTATTTATACTCATGGTATATATATATATATATATATTATAATCTTTACTTATAGTATACATTTAAATAAGTTATTAGTTCAATCTGTAACACATATATCTTAAAACTATAAACTATGATAAACTATACATTATTACATATTGGTTACTTTTTTTTTTTTTTACTTTCATGATTATTTCATACTTTTTGAATCACAAAAAAATATTCAGCATATATTAACTAGCATGTATGATATATAGTATATATTAATTTTTTTTAATATCAAAATTATTTTGAAACATGTTCAATAACTTCATGATTATATTATATTTTTATTTTTTGTAGTAATGTTGAACTTAATAATAGATTATAGTGGTTTATAGATAGGTGTTTTATATAAAAGTAGTATTTAAGGTTTTATTATTTTTATTTTTTGGATAATATAAATAATTATTTAAAATATTTATTAAGAGGTGGTTAATTTTTTTGTTATATCTTCTCATTTGTACATATATTTATCTCGAAATTTTAATTTTAAAATAACTGTTTGATTTTTTTTTTCTTGGAATTAATATACTTATGATTGGATGTAACTTGATAATTTAAAACATTTACAGGCTGTTTATCAGAGGGTGTTTATAGAAGAAGTGGATCATGTTCAAATGCTACTAAGCTCTTATCAGAATTTAGAAAAGATGCTTGGGCTGTTCAATTAAGTCATCAAGAATATTCAGAATATGATGTAGCAAGTGTATTAAAGCGATTCTTTAGAGATTTACCAGAACCTTTACTTACAACAGAACTTCACACACATTTTTGTAATGCAGTAAGATTAAACTGTGAAGAAAGTGAAAAAGTTATACTTTATAGAAGTTTATTGGAACGTTTAGCACCCATAAATTATGTTACTACTCGAAAACTGATGGGCCATTTGTATTATATTCAACAACAAAGTGATAAAAACTTAATGACTGTACAAAATTTAGCTTCAATATGGGGTCCAACTTTGATGCACTTGGAAGTATGTTATTTACATTTAAATAAATTAAAATTGTTTTTTATTTCTATGTTTTTATAAAATTTATAGTTAAATAATAATTTTTAGAATAATGACTCGCAGAACTGGTCAAAAACTGAATCAGAAGTTGTGAATGACTTGATTTTGCTTTATCCCAAATTGTTTCATGTAGAGGATGATGAAATTAAACGAGAAGATAGAATTTTAGAAGCATTAAAATATTACCACTTAGCAAGTGGAAATACAATTAAACCCTCAAAACCTTCTGGTGATCTAAAAATATGGATTTATCTTGGTTCTAAAGATGGTGGAAATTGTGTTAATGTTACTGTAAGATTTTTAAAATTGTGCTAATTTTATTTTAGATTTTGTGAAATTAATATTGTATTTTTTTTTTTTTTTAGTTGAATCCCAGTAAAACAGCTGAAATGGTATGTAAAGAGTTAGCTAATAAAATGGGTGTATGTGCAGGATACTTGCTAGGGTTACAAGAAGTAGTTTGTAATGGATCATTGATTCGTCCAATACACCATTCAGAATTTTTATTGGACATAGTATTACGTTGGGCTTATTGGGATATAAAATATAGACGAGACAATTATATAATTTGTCTTCAACCTAATTCATTACTTATTGAAATTATGCCATTTGTAAGAATGAATATCTATATTAAGTATATACAATTTTAAAAAGTTTTTCAAAAATCTTTTTTTTTAGACAAAAGAACCTGTAACAATTTCATCAGAGTTAAAATTTGCTGATCAAAAAAATAGATCATTTAAATCCTATTTGTTTGAAATAAATGAGGGAAAATTACTGTGTTATAAAGACAAATCTGTAATCATTTTTATCAGAATTATTTTGAGGTTATTGTTTTGTTATTTAAATAATAAATATTTTTAGGGTTCTTCTATTTTGTATGAGTGGAATATTAAAAGTTTAATTTGGTATATTGGTTTTGTACCCAAAAGAAATCCCCATACAAGGTAATTTTTATAATCATTTTAATTTGTTCAGTTGATAAATTGATTTTATTTTTGTAGGTGGTGTATTACATTTATATTAAAAGATGACCCTACTACTATGTAAGTTCAATTATTTAAATTTTTTTTGTAGTACTGTTACAGACAGATTACTCATCCTTTACAAACATAAATGTCTCCACCAGACTACAATAAGCTTTTCTGCTAGGATCCCACTAGTTGGCTATGGTGTTCTTAAACGGTGTTACGTTGATCCTATATAACTTATATCCCACTACAAGAGCTGTTTATGGTTTCATAATCAATAAAATATAAACTTTCTATTAACAACGATAACAAGTTCTTTTATAAATATTATGTATAATTATAATCTGACTGAATCTCAAAGACTGTTGGCTGGTAATTCAAGTGAGGTGAGTCAACGGTGTCAACTGTATACAGAACTCCATTAATAATAATTATTATAATAATCTCAATAACGATAAGTCAAGTTAATGTATGAGTTATGAATTGCTATGAGAGTAGTAAAATGTCAACTGGCTTTAACATGTTTCGAATTAATTATATAAATATGGTTCTGTTTACACTCGCACAAGGTAGTAGCAAAACTAGTACATAAATCAAGGCGGTGCTAAAATTGTGTAAAGCACACAGCGAGGCTCTGCCTCCAAACCCTCTAATTTAACACAATATATATGGCTGTATATTTAAACTAATGATTGTGGTTGATTAGTAGCGTAATATTGATATGTCCTACTATACGCAAAATAAAGTTTTTATTTGCTATTATAAAGTACTTCAAGATAAGAAAAAAAATTATATATTAAAAAACTGATGATAAATTTTTATAAATACAAGTATCTAGTTGAAATTACAGATATTTAAATTCAGGAAAGTTACTAGAGCCTGCAAGTACTAAAATAAAGTGTGTAATTGCACTTCTAGTAGAAAGAATGTTTATGCTGATTAGGTACTAGTATAGTCATAAAGTGTTAATGTTTGTGAAGGTCGTGTAATCTATTTGTTACAGTACTTCAATAACTATAAAAAATGTAGAGAAAATATTTTTTTAATTGTATAATATCATGTTGAAATTTATAAATTCAATTTAACAAATTCTTATTGAAATATTCCTTAGACTTCATTTTTATTCAATTATTTAATGCATTAATAGAACTAGATATTTTGTTATGTTTTATGGCTATTAAAGAAAATATATCATATTTATAATTTAATAAATCAATATTTTAGCTTAAATGAATTCTTGTACTTTTAGTTCAAGGGAAAATTTTGGTTTTTCAATTGCTGGTACTACAAAAGAAGATCATCTTCGATGGATGGCAGCATTACTTATTGCCGAATATGGAGTTAATAATGTGTCACCACCAGTTTCCATTAATCTTCTTGATTGTTGAAGAATTCAATGTTTATGAAGTTTTTCATGTATGCATGATAATATAATTTTACTAAAACTTGGTACTTAGATCGTTGTTAATAAAACTTTATTTGAATTTTAATTATTTTCAATAACAATTTAGTTTCAAATTTTATCTTTATTATAAAATGAAATCTTTTTTATTTTTCATTAGATGATATTATTAATTATTTGACTGAAGTATAACTATATAAAGCTTTGAAATGCATAAATTTTTCAAAAAAATATTACATTTAGTATTCTACCAGTGTTGCCAATGTATAACGATCTCATAGATTTCTGATAAATATAATTTTTCAAGTATAAAACATTAAAATAAGTTAAAATAAAAAATAACTTCAAATTAACCAGATGGTAAATTTTATCTATATTTTTTAAAACTATTCTAATGATGATTTATAATGAGTTTGATGTATGGTTACATTACTTTTTAAAATTCTTAAATATTCAATTTAGTTTGATAAATAATAACAATAAAAATATAGAGTATTTTAATATTAATAGATATTTATTATTTTGCAAAAAACATATGCTTATGTACAGAATTTTGATTTAAAAGCATTTTTTTTTCAATTCCTTCCATTAATATTATATTAATATAATCAGTTAAAATTCTAAGTTCAATCCATTGTTTATATTATACTTATTATTATTTTGTATGAATATATTATTTTAATTGGTAAATTTTACATAAAAAAGTTATCTTAAACTATTAAAAAAATCATTAAATTATTAATAACTCATTTTTTATTTAAGTCAACTTCAAGCATTCGTTTTGTGGATTTTTGTTGTGATTATAGTTGTATAAGTTATACTTTATATTGATATTAACTTTTAAGTATTTATTTGATTAAAAACAAATTGTTAAATGAGACAAAATTTTATTGGTGTTATTTAATAGCTAATAAATTACTCTAATTATTAATGTAGTTTTTATGTACTAAAGACTATATTTTGTTGTTATTACCAAGAATAACAAATAATTGATATACTCTAAAAATTATTGTACTATAAATTACTAGTGTAATTATTTTTTGTAATAATATTAATATTTTATACAAATATGTGAAAATAATATTTGTTTTATTTTTTTAGAATAAGTGTTGTTTTAATGTTAATTGTTGAAAATATTTTGTTTATTTTATTTTATTAATTACCAATTTTTTTAATAAAATATATATATATATACATCTATATTTTATGACATCTAATTATCTGAATAAATAAAAAATTAAGTATTAGTTATTTTTTCTAGATCTCTGTAAATTAGAAGATAAGAAATAGGATTGAATAATCCAATGGTGTATTTAGAATGAGTTTCCTATATCAGAAAAATTGACTCAGGAAAATTTGAATATTCCACTATTATATACTTATTTTTAACTTATCGAGATTTTATTTTTACAAGAATTATAGTTTAATACATTTTAAATACTGAAGATTAAATAGATTCATTTGAATAATATGTGCACCCTAGAAAAAGGAAATAAGAATGGAAAATGTTATTTAGTTAAGTTGTGAGGTTTTTTTGAAAGTCAGTATAATTCAAATGTTCATATTTTATTAATACTTAGTTTTTAATAATAATTCGTTATGTATCATAATAATCATAGTATCGATCATCGTGTAAGGTCTAAAAATAGTATAAATAATAGTAAGAAATATTTGTTGATTGTAGCATTTCATGTTTACAGACGACAATTATTTTGAATTTGATTATGTTTATATGAGAAAATAATTGTTATTTTTTAAGTATAATACTGATTTATTATGTATCATAATGAATGGCGAGTGACCTAAATTAAGTGATAATTTTGGCTTTGATGCAATAATTTTACTATGTGTTTTTTTTTTAATTTTTTTTTTTGTGTTTTACCAATTTTTCTCAGCTCTCATGGAACCGATATCTTCCAATGATACGTCAAAAGATCACAAATCGTATTAAGTTAAAGACATAACCCACAAAAATTGAAAAAATTTCCCTCGTTTCCCATAAATGGAGGAAATCTTCAAAAAAATTACATATTTAAAAAATGCTAATTTTCGAAATATTTTCAATTTTTTTTACTTAATATTGCCATAACTTTTTCAAAAATTATCAAATCAATATAATATTGTTTATAGATGCATGATGTCTTTACATATCATTTGATATATTATTTTTATAAATATGACCCTTTACTTGCCTGCAGGAGGGGATTCAAAATGACAACTTTTTCAACTTAACTTTTGAAAGTGTTCCGGAAATAATTTTATACATAAAATTAAATTTTTAAATTAAAGCTTATGTAATATACTTTATTATGGAAAAAGAAAAATTTCAGATTTTAGTTTATTTTTATGATGAATACTAACATCAAAGTTGATAAAAAATACGATTTTTGTAAAAAAATAAATTTTTATATTTTTAATTTTATAATGCTATAACTTTTTGAAAAATATATGGATCAATACAATTTTTTTTATGATAAAACTATTTATATACCTCTTTCATTTGTCAAACTTTTTTTTTTAAATAAAACTATTTCCCTTTATATATTTATTTATTCATATATTATACTTATAAATCATAAAACTCGTAATCAGGAATAATGATAGAAATAAGAATTCATTTTGTTTTTGGTATAATCCATCAATTTGTTAAAATTAAACACTACAGATTTGTATCGAAGCGTTTCTTATGATAGTGATTATAATTACTGTCGGATATCTATACTTGACCCAACTATGCCACGTCCCCACTGTGCTGTTTTTTTTTTATTATTATTTTGCTTATAATTAATAACTAATTTAGTTAAGTATAACAGAATGATTACAATATAATAGAGCAAACGTATTTAGAAATCCACAAGAATATTGAACGATAATGGTAACATAGTAAATCAACCACTAACAAAATATATGAGACTAGATTATCGACTTCTAACGAGTCTTTTACTTCCTTTTCTTGTGCAAAAGTGTTCGATATTAGTGTAACTAGTTAGTTAAAATCGGTGCAGCCCATTATTATTTATCCACGTCGTAAAATTCATGATAAACAACGTAACTCACAAAGGTCATGTTACGAAACATACCAATGTAATGAAAATTCTGTTTATTAGACGTAATATCTATTGTCATCATTTTAATAGTTATGTATCTCGTTAAAATGTCAAGATGCTTTGATAACCACAAAATATAATTAGTGGAAACATATTTCGGGTTGACAAAAAAAACGATTTATCGGGTTAACAAAATATTTCTAGCAACATATTAAGGTTGTATCATTATGTAAGCAAATTTTTAAACGAAGGCGAATACAATTAAGAAACTTCAATAAATACAAATAAAAATCAAGGTAATTTTAAAAAAATAGTTGAACCGCTATGATTGGAAAACGAAAAATTAAATATTAATGTAAATTATTTACCTAAAAATGTAAAATATACATCTAATAAAATGCAAAATTATATTTTGTGTAATATTATTTTGCAATTATCAAGGAAGTCAATAAAGGTAATTTAATTATAGATGAAACATGAGATGTGTCAACATTAGAACAAATGCCAATAGAATATCTAATTCATTAGTTATTTACATGAACTAACTATTAAAGAGAGATTCCAAGGATTTGTACAAGTAAAAGAATTAGATACATAAAAGGTCTCACTAATTATATCATCGAATTTCTAAACTCACTTGTTTTAGACATAAAAAAGTGTATAAGGCAATCTTATAAAGGCGCATCAAGAATGTCGGATTCTGTCAATAGTGTAGAACTAAAAATTAGAGAATACTTAAAAAAAAATGTCTTTTTATACATTGTTATTCATATAATATGGGTAGTAAAATTTAAAGGTATTCATTTTTTTATGCGATTTGAATATGTTATAAAAGCATTATGGCAATTGATAAAAAGTATGACAAAAAAAGTAATGTATTATTTTTCGATTATTTCTTCAAAACTTTTTATTATCTACTAAACATTTTCAATTCACTTCCAATGTTGTATGCTCTAGATATAATTAAATGTTTAAATTTAATTGAAGCTACAATAACAGTGTTTAAATTTTAAGTTTAGATTAATTTGTTTAATAATTTGTATGAAAAAATTATAATTATGATCGTGAAATTATGGTGATTGAATCGTGCCCCTTAGGAACTCTTATGGGATGGGCATCATACCCCCAAACCCCTAGAGCAAAGGAACTCTAGTCTAATTTCAAAGTATTTAAACCTGTTGGATAAGGTACAATAACCCAACAGCCACACGTGTTCGCGGTCTGATTAGAGCGTTATATGCAAACTTTTTAAAGCGCTATTACTTTTTAACTATTTTGACCGACATTTTATTTTTGCATATTCGTAATCATTGTTAAAAACAAATTCATTTAAAAAAAAACCCAGCACAGTGGGGTGGCGGCACAGTGGGGTCGTGGCATAGGTGGGTCTAGTATAGATATCTGACAGTGATTAAAATCACTATCAAAAAAACTTTTCGATGCAAATCTGTAGATAGTGTTTAATTAAAAAAAAAAAATTTGTTAAAATAGCATATTTTTGAATACAGTAGCCATTTGCGCATAGAAGATAGGTCGTCGGGACAAATTTTTTTTTTTATTTAATAGTACATAAAATAAGCTTTAATTTGATATATGTTTAAAGGACGCAGTATTTCAGGAACATTTTCAAAAATTAAGTTGAAAAAGTTATTTTTTGTAAAAAAGTTACTATTTTAAATCACCCCAGTGAGCAGAATAAGTGTTAGATTTTCAAAAAAAATTATATCAAATGAAAGGGAAATATATATGGTTTCAATAGAAAAAAATATTATTTTTATTTGTTCATTTTTGAAAAAGTTATGGCAGTTTTAAGTACAAAAAACATCCCGATAAAATGTAATTTTTATCGCAAACATTACATTTTTTTTTAAATTTTCGACAGCCATTTGCACATAGAAGATAAGATGTCGGGACAAATTTTTTTTTTTCATTTGATAGTATATAACATAACCTTTGAT